TCCTCTCAATTTTCTCTCTAACTTCTTTTTTCTTTTGCAGCAGGTTTGATGGGGTTTTCGTTGAACCCTTGTTAGCTGGAGGGGCAAAATGACATTTTTGCCCCTTTGTTGACTTAGCTAACTTTTTTTTTTTTTTTGGGCGTTACATTGGGTCAGCCCTATCTCCTATCTGTGACCCGAGGCCCAAAACCCACGTGATTCAAAATTTGGATAAGCCAACGTGATTAACTATTAAGTCATCCTTTTGAAGACATGACCAATGCCTTATATAGTTTAGAGTTGTCGGCCTTCCACATCATAGGAGAAAGTTGGAAAACACATGTTGTTGAGATTCGAATTGGTTTCGAGTATAAATGAAAAGGTGTGAAGGACTAAGACAAGATAATATAGTACATGAAGTCGAAACATTCAAATATTTAAGTGAATAAAAGAATATTTTTAAATTATCAATCACACAGGTTAGAAAAAAAATAAAATTAATAAAAAATATTAAAAAAATTAAATTAGAAACATAAGCTTTAATTATATTTAAAACCTATGAGTAGCTGCCATGATCGAATTGCATGTTTTGATTGAGCAAGTTTGTAACAAACGTCGTAGATTCTCGAGCTCTAAAATTAAGATTCAGCCTACATTTTAAATCCATTTTCGCCACTCTATAATGCATATTAAATTTAAATTTTTTAGTGGTATAGTTACTTTTTCTCCACTTCACTTCTTTGACAATTTGGAAAAGAATCTCAAAATTTCAAGAACTAACCAACCATTTTTCCAATAAGAACCCAAAATTTTCTCAAAATTTTATGCCATAGTGCACTTGAGAGGCTCATCCTTGTCCCTTTAGTTTTGTAGGAAGATTCTCTATAACTTTCTTAAAGAAAGCCACTCGAGAAACCCACTAAAATAGAAGTATTCATTCAAGTCCCAATTAATAAAAATTTTTAAGATTTTGAATTTTCTATTCCACCCCTATACGAGGAAATTAGAGTGTTTGAACTTATACAATTTATTTTCTACAACTACAAGCAGCATGTTTTTTTTTTAATAAAGGAGTAGAAGGCTGATAACCACCGTATCTTTGACCATTTGAAGGAATTAAATTTGGATAAGCAATTTGGTACATTTTTGAAAGAAACATGTTTGCTCAAGAAACCTAGAGCTCTATAACTTTGGATCAAGTCAACCAATAAATTTGAAACAATCTAAACAACTATATGTTTAATCGAGAAATTTAAGGTCATTAGTGAATATATATATATATTTTTTCCTCTCCAGATGATACAGAGGAGAGGAAAGCTCAAAAAAGCCATAAATCAAGAGGAGAAATTCGAATGGTAAGTACGTTGTCTTCTTCAACTAATAACTCTCTATACATTGACTTATAATTCATGAAGATTGAATCTAGAGTTTCATGAATGCCAGATCAACACAACTTTGATGAAGAAACTAACTTGGATAGCCACTAGAATAGGTAGGCAAACTCAAGTACCTTGGTTCCGCCCCTCTCTTTCTTTCTTTGTATAAAATACACCCCAGAGCTTGCATTCTTTGTTTCTGCCCCCTTCTTCTTCTCTTGTTCATCTCTTCATAGCCACCATCCAACCCTTTCTCTCTCTTGCCCTTTTCTCATAATAGACTCTTTGCCTTAATTCTGAAGCCTCCCCTTGCGTCTCTATAGTCCACACCCGATAGTTGTTTCAATACTTCTCAATACTTAGATTGGTGATGGTTCTTCATCCTCTGTTTCCATACTCTCTCTAGTTTCATTTCCATTCCATTTTTAATTGCAATTTTTATATCTTCCAATTTTTGATTTGCGGTAATTCTTATGGAAATTTTCCTTTTTTTTTTTCCCTTTCATTCTATTTGAAGCTTGAGCAAGGCCCTTCAAATGGCCTGTCTATTCTCCTTCTTCCTTTGGGCTTTCCTTTCATACTTTGTGGGTTAGTCATATTCTTGTCGAAGCCAAGACAGCATCATCGTTGCCCGATAAACTCTCTGCAGTTTTCGATGGCCAAAAAAATATTATACTGCCCAACCAGACGTCTCTGCCGAACCAGGTTACTAACATCTTTACAAGAAGTGTTTCTTGACCTCTCTCTGAATTTTTCAGATCCAATCTTCAAGTTCATTCAAATTTGACGCTCGGGGTGTTAAGGATATTTAGTTCTAAATTATGGTTTACCATATATATCATATTTGACTGTAACGACCCGGGAAAGAAAGAAAAAAAATGTATATATATACATATAATAAGAATAAATAAAATAAAGTAAAAAAAAAAAAAAAAAC